TGTAGAAATTCGGACTGCTATAGGCGAGAGTAGTAGCGATATTTCGGGTCCGAAATCCTATGTAATAGGACATGTGGTACTGCGGACCATGAGAAAACATGTAATAACGCTGTATACAATGCTTAGCAAGTCAAAAGGAGTAAATGTGCACCTAGTGGGGATAGATGCGACTGGACAGGACATAGGGAGGACGAGTCCGATGTGAAACGTCGGGTCCGAAACTTTTGGGTCAGGGTCAGGGGTCGGGATTGGGATCGGAAAGTTGGGGATGCGTCAAACAAATACTGTTTAACATGAGTATCAAAAATGTGGGTTTTGAGCCCAGCGCCGCGACTATCGTTACATCGGACCAGTCACCAAGTACCTCGGCATTCAATTTATTTGCAATCGTCAGACCAGGGAGCTATGGATGCATCAAGAGGACTACATCATCTACCTCTTACATGAATACGGCATGTCAGCATGCAACCTGGTCTCACTCCCCATGGACCCAAACTTTCCTTTTGGTCATCTGACTGATGTCCACCCTCATGTGGATGATTTGCCGAAGGAGTATTGCAAGCTTGTAGGAGAGCTATTGTATCTCGCAATGTACATGCACCCCAATATTGCTCACACCATCATGCACCTTGCACAGCATAACTCCTCACCTGAGTCATGTCATTACACCTGCTGCAAAACATGTCCTCAGATATCTTGCAGGCACCATCAATACACACACTCATTACGGGGGTGCGAACATCAATCCGGCATTGCATGGCTTCAGTGACTCAGACTGGGCATCCTGCCCCAAAGATCGCATCTCCATGACCAGATACATCTGGTTCTACAATGGGGGCCCAGTATTGCACCTCAGCTAAAAAGCAGGTGTCCCATGCACTTTCATCGACTGAAGCCAAGTACAGTCATTGACCATCATTTGAGTTTGAAATTTTCAGATGTCTACCACAACACAACCTGACACAATCTCGAAAATTCGCTTTCAGGGATGTCACAATAGATAGCTAATCTACTTCGAACAAAATTTTGAAGAACATCAAATGAGACGTTATTCCACAATGGAAAGTGTGTAAATCTTGGTGTTATTGTATGTTCACCATCATTTGAGTTCACCCAAAAAGGCAGATTTATTCCCTAGTCGCGCAGATTAATCTTCTTCCTCGTCAATGTGGGCAAGTGCCAGGCTTTGGGAGTGGGGCATCGAGTCTCCCAAGCTTCGGTTTGACATGTGTCATGTGTCGTCTCTCCAACTTTGCCTTTGCTCGCTCTTCCTCCCACTGCCTCAGCTCCTCCTTATATAATCATGTTCGTGTTTATCGGATCTCGCTTATTTTGCTTCTGTGATGCTGATAAGATACTATTGAGACACTCTGCACCGGCAACATTCTGGCAACACACACACTCACCAGCTCCCTTGCGGAATAGAACAGTGATGTGCTTGAAGGTTGTTTGCAGGTATTTATTCAATTTACGAATCCGATTCTAGTTGTTTTGCTTTCAGGGATGCATAATAGTGAAAATTTCGCAACAAAACATACCATCGCACATTTGTTTGAGGTCTTTTATACCTATCATTACTGCCAATATGTAGTTAGGCACATAACTCATATGATAGAACAAAAATGTTACATGGGATAGTATCAAATTCAAGTGTCATACAAGGTAAACACAAATGATGGTGAAAACTCAAATGACGGTCAATGACTGTACATGGCATTAACTGCTGCGATCCAGGATGGTTTATGGTTGAAGTCATTTTTCAAATGCATCAGAATCACAACAACGCTTCCCCTTCAACTGTTCACAGATAATGCTGGTGCAATTGCGCTATCTAAGGAAGCCGCAAATCATATTCATACAAAGCACATTGACTTACGATACCACTTTATCCATTGTCACATTGAGGAGGGCACATTCCTCCCTGTCTGGCTCTCGACACACAAAAACATCGCCGACATCTTCACCAAAGTCCTCCCATGTCCCATCTTCATTCAACATCACTCGGGACTGGCTCTTGTATTGCATTGAGGGGGTGCAGTTGAGGAGATGCGGTATGATGTCTCATTGAGGGGGTGTGTTGGAAGTCAACATCGACATAGTATTCCTTCTTTCGTCATCACAGATTCTTTACGTAATTTTTCCTTATAAGCTCGTCACATCGGATCACGCATACTTCAGTAGTTCTTTCCCAAATGCTGAGGCATGTTTCACTTTACTGTTGCACACCATTCTTGTCTCACCATATTTTATCTCTAGACATTGTCCTTAGGTATTGTTAATATGATAGTAGTTCTTTCCCGAACACTGAGACATTGTCCTTAGTTTCTACTTCCTACAGTAGTGAGGGAGATCCTCGGCTCGCTCGATGTGTCGTCGAACTCCTACTAGAATGGGAACCACAGCTCACCTCTCTCTCCAACAGGGCACACAGCTCAGGACCAGGAGGCACTGCGCGCCTTTGCCCAAAACACTCAGGAGCAGAAGTGCAAATTGCACACAAAAAACAGTGAAATCAGTAGTAGTAATATCATTTCTTGCTTTGACAACAAGACTGCGTCTGAGCGACCCGCAAAGACTACAATATAAGTCGCTGTTACTGTGGTTGAATTGTGTTAAGACTCGTGTGAGAGTCGCGACGTGTTGATTTCAAAATGCCTAATCAGGTAATGTCATGTGCTGTGACATTTGGACAGTTTTGGTGATGTTATGTGTTTAGCTTTCAGCCATTAACAGGCAGCATTAGGTACCTCACACGACTTGCCCCAGTTATTTGACAATTTCGTTGTTAGGCTTTGGGATGGCTCGGCCTGAAGCGATAACCAATATAAATGACCAGCAGACGTCAAGTGCTACCCCACTTCTCATGGCGCCCTCAGCCAACCATGACGCGGAACAAGTCACCATGGGGTTCTCTGAGGCTATCAAACTCGATGCTTTGGGTCCGATGGTAGTGAATAGTGATGGAGTGAGCCACCCATTTTGACAGTCAGACAGATAGTCACCTCATTGTAACTTCAAGACCTTATCGAGGATTGCAAACTGGGAGAAGATGTCAAAGGAGGAGAAAGACAGGACCATACGTGTCGTTGCTGCTCGGAACAGGTGTGTTCAACTGTGCCGGAAGCGGCGAGCCGTATGTGTGAACGCTTGAGTAGCTGCTAATACTACTTGATTGAATAGAACTCGCCTTGCAAAGCAAGCTGACCAAATCCCATGAAAACCACCGCATTCACTCGAAGACATTTGCTGGGGTCGCGCATCAATATGTTTACTACTAGAACGGCTACAACTAGATGCAGACAGCCTTTGGCTTTGAAAATCAGTTCTAAAACTTTTTCCTTGGTCCCCAATGTCATGTCCATAGCAGTATTAAGTTTGGACGTCACCACGATAAGTATGCATATCGCCATGTGTAACTCACGCATTCTCAGTAGGCCAGTTACCATGCCTTGATAATCCGAGGATCATTCAGGAGGCATAAGTTTGGTTGTCGGAATGCCGCTCGGTAGGTACAACTTATCAGCTGGCTAACTTTGAGCCCCATGTCACTCACGCTTTGTGTTAACATAGATCTGCCAAGTGGACGCTTATCTCCTGCTGCCAACTGACGTTTGTCTAGATCCAATATTTCTAAGAATATCCCGTAAGATAACAGCTGACACTATATCAGGGCATGCCAATGTTTCGCCAACTGGTTGAACTGCTAGCAGCTTTCCCCATTCATTATATATTGTAATTGATCATGTCTAGCGAGCCATCATATTCCGAGTTCAAGCCACTCCTCGGTATGTCTATGCTTTGAATGCTTCTATCGCTTACAAACTCTTTCATGAAGCCCAGAGTGTTGGTTATGGCGTTGTTGTTGGTATGAGGTCTATAACAAGGTTGTAAACTTTTGGCTGACTATTTTCAGGTGTTGGGTTCTTCTTCGCAGCCATCATGTTCATCTTGACCACGCTGCAACTCAAATTCTTCAAATTTTCCCCCTGCTTCTTCAGAAGAATTCACGGTATGATACGGTTCCATGCTACAGTCCTTCTAATGCGTAAGCTACCATAAGAGTGCTTCCCGGAGTGTTAAGGTACAGTTTTTATTTTAAGAGACCTGTCTCGCTATCTTATGATCAATGGAAGCCTGGCCTAGTATGCTGTGGCATGTGAGTAGTACTCGCTTGTGTTTCCCAAGCGTTGCTGGACTAAAATTGCGTGCAGTGTAAGCGCATGGACGTGGAGCGCTACGCTTCTACAATCGAGCACTGCCGCATATACATTCGGTAAGAATTTTTTTCACGTCAGTCACGGGATGCGTGTTGATCCGAGTTGAAAGGCGTTAGCGGTCCTTGGTGCGTATCTTTTAGGACTCGTGGCTACATTGTTAACTAACGCTTTTGACCCTGTGTAGGTGGTATGGTGTCGGTGGCACCATTCAGGTTGCTATTTTTGGCATGGTTGCCTCCAAGGTAAAGCAGAATGCCAACGGTGCCCATACCTTTCTTGAGGTATGAATAACAAATTCGAAAGGTCTTTTCACTTGTTCACTGGCATTCAGATTGTCAAGACGCGATTCGGAACAAGTGCTCACATTCTCTTCACATTTTATGGATTTCTGTGTATCTTATTGGTCTGCGGGTCTCTGCTACGTATGTCCCAATATTTGTTCTCGACTGTTAGTGTCACTCATGACTAAGATAGTTGGAGGCTCTGCGACTGTTAGCGCCTTGACCGGCATGAACACCATCGCGGCATGCTTTCTTCTCCCTATTGGAATTGCCATCTATGTCATATTTGGTGGTCTCCGCGCGACATTCATCTGTGACTGGAGTCATACCATTATCTTGTTCATTATTATCTACATATTCGTATTCCGAGCATAGTGAGTGTTTCCTCCTGCATGGGACTAGTTGATCATGGAATATCTTGATAGCGGAACATCACCCGCCATTGGTAGTGTCTCCAGACTCTACGATCTCTTAGAACAGGCTAGCATCGACACTCCAGTGGTAGGTAACGAAGGGGGGAGCTACTTGACCATGAAATCGAACCAAGGCCTTGTGTTTGGTGCTGTCGCAATTCTTTCTGGTTTTACTGGAGTCTTCTGTGATCAAGGTCTGCCTCTGATACATGTCTCATCCAGTTTACATTCCTCTAATGGAACATTTTGCATTATGTGCGTAGGTTACTGGCAAAGGGTGAGCCTTACGCTTTGCAATATGCACCTAGTTGAGCAAGGTAGGCGATAGCAAGTCATCCAGAGTCGACCACCAAGGCATACGTCAGTTTCGCATTTGTATATTTGAAATAACCTGACGGCTTGACAGATGCTTGGTGGTATTTCTTGGTTTGCTGTTCCATGGGCATTTGCATCTTGTCTCGGTCTGAGTGCTCGCGCTCTTCTGACCAATGCAAGTCCTGTTATAGCACACCCCACAGATGATAACTCACCAATATTTGTAGCCGAATTTTCCCACTTATCCTTCTCCGCTTTCTCCAAGTCAGACTAGCGCAGGTCTTGCAGCTCCTGCTGCGGCCGCTGTGCTCATGGGAAAGGGCGGCGCGATCACCGTGCTTCTTGTAGTATTGTACGTATAGACTATGGTGGGAAGATGCAATGTCCTGACAAGATATCAGTATGGCTGTGACTTCAGCTGCTAGTGCTGAGCTCATCGGCGTATCCAGTCTATTGTGAGTTGCTGCGTCATCCTTCTAAAGGCAAACACCTGACCATACACGATCAGTTCGTATGAGTGGGTAGTCCATAGCGTGGATATTGTTACTCAGAATGACCCCGTACATTAGCATATACCGGACGTATTTCCGCCCCAATGCCACCGGAGACGAGATAGTGAGGGTATCTCACTACTTCATATGTTTCTGGGCTGTCTGGATGGGCGGTTGGGCGACTATCGTAAGTGTCATTCATCTCATCGTTTGTTTCCCGCACAAGCTCAAAATCGATAGCTGAATGCTGCTAACATCGACCTTGGATGGGTGAGTCAGATCGTTCTCGACGCTGATGGCTTCCACTGACGAGCTCGCGGGAAAGTTATATTATGTTCAGTAAGGTTTTGATTGCTGCGAGATGAAGCACGTGCTAACACCATCTGGGATATAGAGGCTGCATACTTTGTCCTGCAGTTATTCCCATTGGACTTACTGTTTCGTGGTCTAAGCTTACAAAGGCAGGCGTTTTCTGTGGTGCTATAGGCGGTGCACTTTTCGGAATGTTGGCTTGGATGATCGGATGCTGGAAGATATACGGTCTGGTCTTGCCAAATCCCATCTACCTCATACTGATCAATTTCAGGTCAAATCAACATCACTAACCTTGCAGAACCATACTCAGCCCTATGTAGTACCCTCACGGGGCTATTTTTCTCTGGGATTCTGACAGTAGGGGTATCGCTCTTGAGTTCGTTTTGACTGCCCCGCAACACCCAATGTTTATTTTTTTCTACAGACCCTGCTGACTATGACTTCTCGGGCACTCGAGCCATCGCCACCATAGAAGATGCAAACGAAAGTAACATTTCGGGTGATGACACTCGAAACAGAGCATCAGACACCGAATCACAGAACGAGAAAAGAGCTACGAGTGAAAAGGAGTTATCGATAAAACAGGGTTTTGTCAACATCATGGAAACCAGGCTAGAGAAGGATGAGGAATCACGCATCAGATCTCTCAAGACAGTGTTCAGGAAGGCGCTTATATATTCGTCGATTTTGACATTGATTGTCGTCATACTTGGTCAGTATGTCAGCGCTATTCTATTTGCTACATGACTGATACAGAATCAGTCCCAATGCCCTTGTTCTTCTCTCATTATGTCTTCAGCAAGAAGTTCTATACCTTCTGGACAGCCTGTTCGATGTAAGTTATCGAAGTCAACACGCAGTTCGATGGAGTGCTCACGGACTTTCTTTCGATAGTATATGGGCACTGGCGAGCGGGACATTTTGCATCATCTTACCCTTGTGGGAGTCCAGAGTTGAGATTGGTACGATATTGGGTTCAGCTTATAGATCGATCTACAAATAGAGTTCACTTTGAACTCCCAAGTTGTTTCCCTGTATACAGTTGTGGACAAACAAAGTCCTCTAGTTCGGTGACTGAATTTTATAGCCTGGTCAGTGCAGGAAATGCCAAAATTAGTATTCCAGCCTGCAGAAGCGGCTCCCAATCAATTGATATTACAATTTTTGTATTCGCATTTTCATCACGTTTATCATGTGAGGTATGTGGAATACCCTTAACGTTATTCCTCCACACTTTTACCTAAGTTAATCTCCTATTTTGATTTGTCTGGTACCATGGGCTACAGCGCGTCGACCACCAAACCTTGTGCATTAGTTTAAGTAACTTGTGTGCGGAGATCTGAATTCAGCCAACACATCTCAACATAATCCTTGCAATCAATCGAGGCAGTGACATATTGGTGCAGAGTAAGGCTTGACCAAGACTAGACAAAAGATCTCTGGATGGATCCAACTCCCTGAAGAAGTACTAGTGCTCAAACTCGAGAAGCCCAAATATTTGCAGAGAACGCACGTTGACACAAAGGAGCTTCCATCATTTGGAAATTCTTAATGTGAAATAGTGAGAGTAACGGGAGGAACCAACAGCTGAGTGCTGAGTGATGTAAGAAAGCGAAGAGAATGTTCAGAACGCACTGTGCACGTGCACTGGAGTAGGACGAACTCGTGATGATCTGCCCGTTTTACGTGTTTGTTTTTCAGCTCATTCCTCGGTCAAGCCCAGCGGCCATTCTGTCGCTGATTACTCAGTTCTCCGCCTTGCTCATTTTGAGTATTTGGTGCCTGTCGTAACGTTAAGTTCTCAGGCGTCCGCAGACCTTTTGATCTTGGCCATATCATTGAAATAATTTCCAACCTTTACTAGGCACAATTTCTTGTTCTGAGCAAGGAACGAGAAGTATAATGAGCGAGAGTTTGAAGGATGCATAGCTCGATGTCATAGGTAGGTCGAAAAAACGAATGAAAGGAAGATTACGACAACGCTCAGCTAGAAGTGTTGAAGATTTCGAGGTATGAGACCACACAGCGGCCTGGGCCTGGCTCGGATTGTACAAATTGCTGTGCCTAATGAGGCGCAAGTTACACTCCATTAAGGTTGGAAGATCAACAAGTACGTGGAGAAGCTAGGGATGACGGACACTCAGGCGATCGAGAGCGCTTCATCTTCAAGTTATTAGGTCACACTGAGTCCGCAGGAATAATGAACGTTCCTTGAGGTCAAGAGTAGTGAGGAACTCAACATTACGGATTAGACTGGTAACCAGCCTGTCTAACGAGGCAAGCCATTGATACAACGGATCTAGACAAATGAAAATAGGAGCGCTAATTATCTCAAGTGAGGAACAACATTGCAGTATCGAAAGATGGAACAATCAGAACTACTAGATACTATGAAGAAGCACACAAGTAAAATAGGGCGCAAGATGTTATTAGGAGATTGACATCCTACTAATCAGACGCCATACTACCTCCTGCAGCTGACTCTCAGAGAAAATCATGTAAGTGACTCGCGGATCCAGATAGAAGCCAGCATAATTGATACATGCCCTTATACGAGATAAACGCCAGATAATTTTCAAACGTTCGTGTATGTGTATGTCCATGGTTTGGACTGAGCTTGAACTCATGACCATCCCCCAGCATATAAAGGCTGTCGTGTTCAGTGGTAAACTCCCAACTTCCAACCTACATTTACTACTTCAGCTCATAGCTCATCTTACCATGATCAGTGGCACTCGCGTCATCTTTAACGTCAAGTACCCCAACCAGGTCATTGACTTGCAGAACGGCGGCAGCGCTGATGGCACTCCCATCATCGGTTATCAATTCGACAGCCAGAACACAAACCCGCACCAGCGTGTAAGTCTTCGTTCGTTCATTGACTCACCGTGCAGGCTCATGATCAACGTAGTGGCTCATAGAGGTCATCGACAGCAATGTTGGCGGCAATAAGTTCACAACCCATGTGACCAACAACGGAACCGGAAAATATGTCAGGGCTGAGCCAGAGATTCTTGTAAGAAATGCATGCTTGCTGCCATTTTTGTGACTTACTATTTTTTGGATTTGCAGAACCAAGGGCTCGTCAGCAGCCACATCGCCACGAAGTGGACGTTGGTCAAACAGAACGACATGGGCCAATACTTGTGAGTGATGCGGCGGAGAACCGTAACACACTTTCCTACAAGTCACTTATCTACCCACAGCATCCAAGGCAACGAGGGGGATTTGGTCCTCGTCCTCCCGGACGACCAGAATTACACCCAGGTATGGCTTCAAGCTCGTTATGCGCCGGACGGAATAACTCACGATTCGTATTTTGTAGCTCAAGCTCGCTGTCCCTGATGAGAGTGACGAGAGGCAGCTTTGGACGGTGCAGGATATGTAAGGAAAGCCGTAGCCCTTGTTTGCTTTCAAAGCGGCTTGCGACAGCTTGCATGCAACAGTCCCATATCTCCTTTTCGTCCTTGTTTTGGATCAAGAATTTCCTGATGTAACAGAAGCTCCATTGTGTCGACTTGCCTCTTAGGTATTCTGTGCTGTATGTTTGTTTGTGAATTACCAGCAGTTTTGTCCTTGTCTGCCATACCGCCCTTTCTGCTGCCTTTCGGCCTCGAAAATATTCGGCAACTTGTAAATATGAGAGTGGAGTGGATACGCGCGAGTAGTGGTAATAGGTGGGCGTGAACGACGACAGCGGCAACATTAACGGTGACAGATGCAATCGCCACAGCCTGTACTGCGTTTACTACGAGCTCGGAGTGTGGCGAGGCTAAGGGGACTCACTAAGTAAGCGAATAACACGGCTTTGAGTGTAAAACTATTATTCTAGAGCGCATATATTCTGCGCGCAAAAAAGATCGAATGAATGGGATAAGGAACATGTGTATATCTGAGGAAAAGGGACATACATTCGGAGCAAGCAAGTGAGGTACTCGAACTCGTGAGAGGACAGAGCAACGTTCAGCAAGAATGTGCATGCAGAATGTGCTGTACATGTACATTAATAACCATCCAGCATTTCTGTAAACGACGGTAAGCACTCGTCAATGGGGCAACTTAACTGCATGTTCGTCTACATTCTGGTTTTCGTTCGGAGTAAAGTACACTGAAGCGCAGTATGTCAATTCATAATTGGTGAGATGTGTGCTGGAGCTGAACGTACGATGCAGGTCCGTGATTATGAGGAGAGAGGGAGATAAATTAGTAAAACGCCTGATTCCTTACCTTGTTTTCAATTTTTCTCGTGCAATAAGCAAAATTTTAAGTACAGACCAACTTACCTTGTGCTTTTTGTACTTTGTTTCCTTATTACTGAAAGCAGATCAAGGTGGACAAGCGAAAACGGCGTAAATCAATCGATTTGGGTAAAAAGGAGGCGGGACAATATATTCGAAAGTTTGGGAATTGACAATTCTAATGCTAATGCAGAGGTCGTGCGTGCACGCCGGTTGCGTTCTGGTGCAGTGTGATATTAGTTACGTACTGGTTGGTGAAAATAAAAAGGAATAGCAATTATGTATGGAGGCCCGGACACTCGTGCTCAATTTCTCACCTAGATTTTCTACTTATGGTAGTCGGACCTCGAGCACCATACTTCCGTATTTGTTCATGCTGACTTGTGAAAATCTATTTGTTCATATCGACGAAGCAAATTGAGAGTTCAAATCTCGTCAAGTGATAAATGCAATTCGTCCCAAGATGAAAAAGTCCTTATACTTACATTGTAACATGACTAAATGAAACACAGCTGCCAAACATAAGCTAAAACAAAAACAAAAAACATAGTGAGAACTAAGCTACTTCTGCTCCAAGCACCTCAAGTCCAAATGGTGGCCACTTGCAGAACTCATTGCAAACATGGTGCCTCTCGAATTCATTGACCACTTTCTCAATATTGCCCTCCCAAAATATATCTTTGCCTTCACTAACAGACAAATGTGTCATGATCTGTGGGTCCATCAGTAGCACTGTACTGCCTAATTGATCCCAATATTAATGACATTGAGAATATAGAATATTGGGTTGTGGACTTGGAGTACATACCTTGATAATCCAATATGAAGACCAGTCCACCCATCTTCAGATACTGGACATGTTGCATGAATGCCAAAAACAGTGCAAAGTCATATCCATCCTGGTCTGGGTCAAGCAGTGGGTTAGGATCCATATTATGAATAAACTTGGTGAAATCTTCGCCGCCAATGACCTCCTCAAGGAGGAAAGCTGCACGTGTCATTCCCGTAGTCTTGCTGCTGCCTTGAGAGTAAGAAAACGCAAGGCCTGCTTCAACAAACCACACACGTGGAATATCAAATGGTGGAGGATCAGATGTGGCTGCAATGGCATGGTCAATAAAATCATAGACAAGCCCTAACAGAGCTTTTGCCCAGTATAGGACATTTGCTTCTCTGAACAGCTTAGACAGCTCATCAACTAGTGCAAAGCGCCCAATTTTGAAATCTGTGATAGAGGCAGGCTTGCCTTGGGGGTACACTCTGTGGAATGGATGTTTCACAACGACCTTGTGACTCGCCCATGACCCAAGACCTGAGGTAGGAGGCACTGTTAGCATCAGCCATCCTTGATGCATCATCTTGAATCCGCCTATTCTGACACAGCCTTTGATGGATAGGTCAATCATTACATAACCAACTGACAAATCAGCATTGTCCATCAAGAATGAGTGGTAGCATGTACACCTCAAGAGCTCATTGAGGGGTCGGGTAGGGATCAAGTAAAAATGAGTATTTTCATTCTAAAACTTGAAGACTGGTGCCAAACAGTGAGTATGTTGAATATAAACTAAACAAACTATAACATACTTTGTTTGACATTCAAGTTGGCACCCTCACCAATCTTAAGGGCCTCCCTCAGGTTATCATGATCAGGAGACATATGTGCAGGAGGATGTACCTGTGATTTGTAAGAGGACGAAATTGTGCTAGAACTAATTGCACATTCATGTGTTTGTTTAATGCTGATACTGGTACTAGTAGGGACTGGTGAGTGGGGCTTTGACTCATGCAACTGGACTAGGTTGAGCAGCAATGCTGCACTGCTGGCAGACACACCACTGGCTGCAGTGTTGTGTCCTGAGTAAAATAAAGGGGGTCGGACTGCAGCACCAGTAAACAGCGCATCATCCGCTGAGTATGAGTACAATGTATCCTTGTTGGCAATGTTAGTAACACCATTGACATTAGAACACTGACTTGAATGCTTGATAACCTATATAAATGAGTATAAGTTAGCATAGACAATAAGTATATAATACATAAGCATACTGTCTCATTATCTTCTTGCCAGTCTTCAAACTCTGTCCATTGACGCTCTGGAACAACTACCATGAGGGTAAATTGCTTGGTCTTGAATGTAGGGCCCTTGATAGAACATTTGGGACCTTTGCAGCCTGGCTGCAGACACTGTGAGTAGAAATACAGTATTAACGGCTGGTGCATTGAGAGGTCCACCCATCCTGAGTCTCATATGACAAATTCTTCATCATGCCAAGAAAATGTGCTACCGAAAGCATGTAGCTTAGGGAGCACTGTCTCCAAAGCAAGCTTAATAAGATCTGGAATGTGGGTATCAACGTTTTTCTTGCCTTCACAAATATTCTAGATAAAAGTACAATTAGTGCACATTTGAGAGAGCATACTAGGAAACAACATACTCCAATTGATGTGTCTCTTGATTTCTTGTGCCCTCTGGCTTCATGAATAGCTGAAATCTCAAATGAGATAGTTTCAGCTGCCAGTGCAGCACTGGAGGGAGCATAGGCCGCTTTAGCCCATCTGAGACATTCTCCTGCATATAATTCATGGTGTGACAAATATCTAACAGCATCAGTGAGCCTTGATGGTATTGGCAGGGATATTGCTCCCTGCCAAGATGTAGGAATGACTACATCAGGGCTAGTGATCACATGGCAGCAAGGGATGGGTGGGGGGCCCATAGCAGCATTAGTCCAGTTAGGAACTGCAATGACAGAAGGAGGATTGATGCTCACTATTGCAGTATTGTTAGTTCAAGTCCTACCATACAGAGATTGATGCAACTTACACTTCCTTTGGCCAGCATTTACAGTATAGGACCGGTCCTTTACCCACCCCCACTCCTTTACCCACCTTAGGTAAAACTTTTAATTTCTTCATTTTTTCGTATCAACATATAGAAAGTAATTGAAGATGAGGCCTCAACGGACATTGTTATAGTATATGATGGATACTTGATGTTTGCGATGTTGTGCATGACACAAATTAGTTGTTTTTTTCTTCCTTGGTGAATTCTATTCAGAGCAATGGTAAATCAATGATTTTTTCAAGAAAAAGTGGCTGGTAGGATACAAAGTATATACTTCAAACATCATTTCCACCTGCAACAGATTTGTGCAAGTCTTGTTTGTTCCTTCTGCAGAGTGGATAGATTGAACACAGGTAGTTTTTGAAGGTCTTATCTTAGCGAGTTTGTCACAGATAGCTGTCACACTGTTCGGCTTCCCAACTCTAAACTGGTAAAGCAATATATTGCATCGCTAAAAAACCATGGTAGGACGAGCAAAATCTCATACAAAAAAAAGGCAGGTTCTACGAGAAGAAAATGACATGATCATGGCTCGGGCAGTGGCCATTTACCAGGCTGAGCTTGCAAAGGAATCCACAGAGGACAAAAAAGGACGAAAGACAGTTTGCCGTGAAGTCGAGAAGGCATATCTTGCTGAGACAGGAAGAGTCATAAAACTCAATGATAGCACACTTGCAAATCTGGCAAAAGGTGGTAGGAGGCTCAGTGACTTCAATGCAGAGAAAGGTTGGCTCACCCTGGAGGAGACGGAGAGAGTAATAGAGTATTCTGTCGAGACGGCACATTGAGGATTCCCACTCAGCCACAAACGACTCAAGAAGCACGTTGACGAAATTCTCCGCGCTTGACTTGGTGGCAAATTTCCTGAGACAGGTGTTGGCAAAAATTGGACAGATCGTTTCATAGAGAAGCATTCAAATAGGCTGGGCACCTACTATGCTCGAGGTCTTGATAGTGCCCGTGGTCGTGCTGGGTTTATGACAGCGAGCAAGAAGACGATGATGGAGAAGAAGATGGTTGATTTCACCAGCGTGTGTTTTTAATCTCACATCAACGTCGCATCCTGTGATCTTATCATTGCCTTTTTGAATTACAAATTTATGGCGTGTGTGATGTGACATCAAAAATTTCTAAAACAAGGTGGGTAAAGGGCTGGTAAAGTCCAAGATAACACTGTTTTCAATGATTTTGCTGCAACACACCAGCATTGTTTCTGATAGCTCTAAAAGTTGATTCATAGTATTTACATGTACATCGGAGTATTACTGTCTACTACGATTTTCGAAAAACAAAATCACTGTAAAGTGGGATGCATTTCAAAATGTGGTGGGTAAAGGACCGGTCCTATACTGTACTGACTGCCGGATCATATGAGGAGTTATCTAATGTAAGGCAACTCAATCTGACTTGGAATTTGGGTGGAGAGAGATCTAATGTAAGGTGACTCAATCCAACTCGGACACCTAGGTGTAACAACTAAAAAGGTGTGACCCTAGCTAATACTCTCATATTTTAAAGGCTCATTTATGGATTTTGGGTTTACTCTTAGACTAGGGTGTATCCAACTCAGGGTTGAACTTAAATACCCAGGCCCTCAGGCTCGTCACTACTAGCATCTCGCATCTCCAGTGCCTCTAGTACTACAATGCCAAATCAATGGAAACCTACGTGTATGTCCTATTATTTTGTTCTAGACTAATACTGCTAAAACTCACATCCAATTAGCACCTTTGGATATAATCCAACCGCATATCCTTCGCCTTTGGAAGGCATGTCAGATGGATAAGTAGATTGTTACAGAACTGCAGAGACACTTTGATACATCATGTTACAACTTGGATAGTATCTGTTGGCGATGCTCAAACAGAGCGTGTGTCATCAACAGTCGAGGACGTCCTTGGGCTAGCCCAAGGTTAGGGGTCTTACTTGGCAAGGCTTTGGCAAGTAAGATTTGACGCCTATGTCCAAATCGGGTAGCTTATGTCAAGCGGGGCTCGACAATAAGTGTATCTGCCAAGGCTTATGACACCTGAAGGTTAATTGTAAGATCTGCATTAATAGAAGGACAGAAGTCCAACTAGTTAACAGGGGCTTTGCTCGTCGACAAAGTCGATGAGTAAAGATCGAGACTAAAGACTTATCTGCGAGGAGCAGATAAGAAAGTAGAATATAGACAGCTGGCTAAGCTGAATGAATCACTCTTGTTAGGAGTAAGAGGTCAAGAACCAAGTAGATTCAAGTTAAGGAATAAGATACATGGTAGCGAGTTTATATAGAGGAGAGGATGCGTATTAGTGGATGATAACTCATACTACCGGAAAGGGAGCTGGTCAAAGGGTGATACTAGAAAAGGAAGGCATGTTCAAGGTGAGTCATAGGTAAACCGGAACATGCAAATGGGAAATGAGTCAGAGATAGAAACAGGAAGTGAAACGCGCAGGGGCATGATTGTGCAACTGCGGAACTAAATATAAGTACACATGTGCGACTGCACAGTGAGTCATGGATCAAGAAAGGGAACAGGGTAAAGGGGATGCGACGTGCATCATATCATAGGTTACCGGACGGACGGTAAAGGCAAGGGGACTATCCACAGGATTAGTTAGGGGGTGGAATGGAGCATGGGTATGCTTTGTCAGAGAAAGGGTCTGGCCAGATGTACTGGCTCTGCTGGAGCGACAGGTAGAGAGTGAAAGGGAATGCGAGGATAATGAGGATAATGAGAGCAAGGTTGGGGTAAGGGTGTGATGCAAGGGCAGAGGCAAGGAGGGTAAGAAGAAAAATAGTAGGGGCCCAAGCGTCGAGATGTTCTTGTAACACATCATGTTATGGTCTCGGGTTAGTGTTGTCTCTCACTGTCCCTTTAATATATTTACATTCTGACACTGCACTTAGACTTACCAAATTTCTCAAGATTCGCGAGGGCATGGGTCTTCAATGAACACACCAGCAACTTCATACTGTTGAGACCATCCATGAGGCTATGGTTGATCTGCGTCTGACATATCTGAATGCTGGAGTGCATGAAATGGTAAGCTTATTATTTCATGAATGAAACATGAGCATAGCCAGGTAATGTCACAGTATTTTCATCAATCTCATATGTTAATCACTAACTATGGTATTTCTTTGTATTACAGGAGCGTGATAACATCTTAATTTGATATATACAAGCCAGACCTTGTCCTCCAGCACAAGGCCAATTGCCTTCGGAGGAGGCAATTTTGGGCTGCTGGAGTTAATGATATCTTCTCAGTTGATCAACATGACAAATGGCTTAGGTATGCTCTTGGCCTCCATACTGGCACTGAGCCATTCTCTGGTAGGATTATGTGGATGAGGGTCTGGCACTCAAACCAGAACCTACAGCTGATCCTCAGCTATTATCTTGATACCCTTGATATGCTTGGACATACATATTCTTTTTATACTTTGGCTCTTCACTGATATGTATTAGATATGCCAATGGTGATTCAGAGCAACCCTGGGTCGGAAATTTTCGGCATTGCCAATGCACATACTATGCTCCACCAATGGCACAATCCTGTGCTAAAGGGTACATTGCAGCATTGCTGGATGCAAAATAAGAAAAATGTCATGCCTGAAATAACTTGGTCACAATTGCAATGTTGTTTCACACCAGGATTTGAGTACTCACTGTTTTCTCTTGCAGGGCAAATTTAAGAATTTTGTATCATCGAGTTTTTCTACAGCAACAGCAAGAAAGCACTGAAGAACACAGATGACTTCCACTGGACAATTGAAGGGTGTTATTTCTGGGTTCAGCAAAACTGGCACCGACAAGGTTCCTGAACTCTCTGCTGATAGATGCAGGGCTGACTTCGTCAAGTGGCAGAAATCTGTTGACAAGTTGCTTGACATTCTGAAACATCATGAAGAGCTTGAAGAAATGTCAGCACAATGGGCGAAGATTGGTATGGGTGAATCTGATTGGCATTCAGATGGGAGTGATGCAGGCAGTGACGCGGGGGACATCAATATCATACTTTAATGTGCTGTTCAATGCTTGATGTTTAGTTTAGTTTGACAATTGTGATGTCATTTGCATGGTTTTTGTGTGCTTGCCTGTATAGCATGTTCCCACAGTACAACTAATACCATTCATACTATTCATACCATTCACACAAAATGTGCTTTCTGCACAGTGTGTGCAACATGTTTAAATTGTACATCCTTGCTTATTTGTCCATATTGTAAATAACTGTACAGTTTGTAGGCCTATTGTACAAACCTACAAAGGGGGGACTTAGCAGTGGGTTCTGTGAGTCTGTACAAGCTTATACAAGCTTGTACAGGCACCCAGTAGTTTTCTGATGAACACCCTGTGTACTTGTTTTGTTTGTTCTTACCTTTTTATCACAGATCACAGTGGAACATGAGGCATTATATCACATGTGCAATCTCTATATCAATCCTTCTCACATCGTCTTCGACCTTGTTCCACAAACATTTGGAGAGGTCATACAGCACTGCTATGAGGAACTCGGGCACCCATTAGTCATGGGGCACTCTACCTGGGACGTGTATCTACACTTACTCGACATGCTGCAGATCAATGAGGAGATACCATCTGTGATTGAAGATGTTGAAGAAGATCTTCTGCTCTTACAAAACCAACAAGACTTACCTTATCATGAGGAAGGCAATGGTACCTATTATATAGGTGGGGTGGGAGGCGGACTCGGACTTGGTACATTATCCACTCATAGTTGTGTTGAACACAGGGAGCTGACATCTATGCAGGTGACAACCACTTGTGTCAGTTAGATAATCTTGCACTCGATGATGAACCTGAAACTACAGCAAGCATTGATGAAGATGTTGTTGGACTGGATCATGATGGTTTGGTCATATGGGAGTTCTCCAATGAGTCTGACAATGACACAAATGTAGTAGATGAATGGTGACTTGCATTCATTTATATTTTTTTGATTTGATTTCTTGTATTTCATTGCCTCACACCAGTCAATCAACAGCCTGGACACTCGTGCTCTACGTAGTAAGCTTGGTGTAACAGTAGGGACAGCAAATTTTTGTCATACATTTGTTCAATCTATGGTTTGAACTCTCAAACGAACTCGAAGGTTTCTGATTCATAAGCAATCACATAATCTGGTTACAACGCTAGGTAATGTAGGTAAGAGTATCGCGGCTATGGGCAGTAAGGGTATCTAGTTTGGGTAAAGCCTTTGGGGCCTTAGACTGAAACACATTTTTGAATTCCCACCTCAGACCAAGCTTAAGCTGAGATTCCCACTAATCAAGGAGCAAAATCTGCCGCATCGAGCATGAGCTTGGTCCCCCGAAATAAGGAGAGTTGCGAGATCTCACCTGTCATCAGGGTAGCGCATGAAGGGTTCCAGGATCGGTTGATCCTGAAGGTAAGGTGCAAGTACGACAGCGTGTTTCCGCAGGTACAGCATGAACACGTCGCTTCCCCAACATCCCATCGTTTTGACACTTTGGAGAGGTACTCCGTGCAGGAGATATTCCAAGGTACCTCCGATCCTGATGCCGTGACCCTTCAGATCAGTGCGCCCCAGTGTTCGTCCGCTGTCTTGCAAACACTTCATAAATGCAGACTTTGTCAGTACCCGCGCACCTTTCGGGTGATGCCAAGTGAAGAGCGCTGAGTGTGGGTCTGGTGTATTGACGCTAAAGTGGTTTAATAAGGCAGCGTGGGGGTCGGCGTCTCTGGATTGTGTCGCCCAATAAACATCAGCGCCGTGTTGCACGGTCTTAGTTTGCGGCAGGTGAAAAACGGTGACATGTAGTCCGTTGTGGTCGGTTTCCTTGCGCATGTCGCAAACCCTCACATGATGAAGCGGGTTGGATGCTGATAGGGACTCGACAGTGAATTCGCCGCTGCGTGCGAGGGACCAAAACGAGGTCGTGAGGCAGGCATACACGGCAGCATGCAGGGGCTGTGAGAGGTCAAGGACAGACCGCAGCTGGATGAGCAGGTTGACTGTGAAAGCAGAGCGTTTGGGACGTGTGGACTTAGGTGGTGCGAGACGTTTAGCGCCTTCAAGCGCAAGTGAAATTTGAGCCTGGTCGACGAGCCAGGGTAGTCCATGCAACAAGTGCCAGGCACGTATTCCGAAGAAATAATTCTCCAGTGTACGTCCTGAGTATAAACCGGCACAACTGGCGACAAATGCTAATAACACTATGGAAGATGCAGGGCAGCGCTGCAGTTCTGGGATGTTCCGTGAGTCGCAAAACACGTGAAAAACTAATAGGCCTGAGCCGTAGCATTCGCAGGTGCTAACAGCGTGCGAATGGCTGAGCACTGTGAAGATATGATCAATGTCGCTGTCCGAGATGGGCACGATTGACCCATTGTGCCCGTCACAAGGTCGAGAGGTTAGAGGCGTCCAAAGTCGGAGCCAGTCACGAGCGAGACAGTGAGGACGTAAGGTAGAGTGACGTGGAGTGAGAGCAGATGGATAAGCGTGGGGAGTGCCAGCAGTGTGAGCGGCGACAAGCGGTGAATGGTTTTCGAATCTGGAGCGCGCATGTCTGATCCCTCCTGTAATGTTGGGTGGGTTTGCATCCCTATGCTCGGTCCGAGCCCTCGTCAGCCACGGCGCAATGACGAGGGTGTGGGCACTCTGGTGTTCATGTGGAAGGGCATGTGGACTTGATGGCATCAACAATGAAGGGACGAATGGCTGCGGGTATGGTGAGGGGGGGGAGAACAAGCCTGGTGGATGGGAACACGCCCTGGGAGGGACCATCAGCAGGATTTGCACTGCTCTCAACATACCGCAGATGAAAAGAGATGTGCCTGTTGAGCTCGCTGAGCCGTTCATGGATCCTGCAAAAGGAGTTGTTGGTCTCCCAGTTTCGACATCTGCTGTTCTGCCAGGCACTGATGACCCCTTGGTTGTCACAGAACAGACAGAAATGTTGTTCGTCGTCGTCTGTGAGTGAGTCGAGGATGGCAATAATGAGGAGTTCGAACCCGATACACTCTGCCCACCCGATGTCGCGTTGGCCGCCGCATGTCCGCCACCCAGGGCAGAGTGTCCAAGCCCGCCAATACCCATGGATAACAATTGCGATGCCGAAGGACGTGCTGGTGTCGGAGAAGGCGTCGAGATGGTGGAAGTGGGATGGCCGGCAGATCGAACGTCCAAGGAAAAGAGAGCCGAGGGTGGTGTACCACCAGTCGAGGTCGTCGCGCAAGTGTTTAACGTCGTGGTGGGGCACAAAAGGACGATTGGAGCAGACACCCAACATGGTCTCCAGTGAGGTGAGGTAAGCGCATCCTGCTGGTATGACCAGACTCGCATGGAGTAGCTTACTGTATAGCTGCTGGACTTCCTCCAAAACATGTGTTTTTTTCGAGTGCCAGGTCGAAATTGCATCTTGGTATTTAGCTTTCTTGCTGGTGGGAATTTGGACTGTGAGGTCCACGATGCTCCACAAGAAACCGAGGTATAGCACAATGAAGGCGAAGGCAACGTCTTTGCTGGGCTCCCATGGGGTACCCAGCTCCTCGGATTCACTGTCGATGTCCTGAAAGGCGTAAGCGAAATCACGATCAACAGATGACCGCGGTGAGGAGTGAGAGAGATCGTGCACGAGGAAGGTGTAGTCCTCCCCATGCTCGTTGTATGAGTCATCTTCAAAACTGCTCCCTTTATACCAGATCCGCCCTCCGCTACGCTGCCTCCCTCTCTGCGTGACGATGCCATGTAGCTTTCGACGTTCATTGTTGTAACGCTCAAGATGGCGTCGTCTGATGTGAAAGAACAAGTGGTCGTCGACCCATTTGAGAATGGGCCCGATTCCGGCTGCGCGCAACAAATCAAGTCCAGCATCAGCAACATGTCCATAGACCCCCGCCGAGGGTCCCATACCGAAGGATATGCAAGTGTTCACGCAGAGTGAGCCATTCAGCAATAAAACCACGGTGGCTGGCCATTGAGACGAGTGGAGAGGTACAGTGCGATAGGCTTCAGCGATGTCATGAGTGGCCCCTTGAGATCCAGGTGGCAAGGAGCGTATGACCGCACAAACAGTGTCAAATGTTCCCCAAGTGCAAGGGAAGTCATCTGAGCACGTAGACGCATTGATGGAACAGCTAGGGTATAAGACAGAAGGCGACAAAGGGAGAGAGAAATTCTGGATGACGCAAAACTTCCCAGGTTTCCCTGATTTTGGGATAATGGACAGAGGCGAAGACTGAAAATGACCGATACAATTACGTAGTTCAACTGCCGAGAAAGGACCAATGTAGTGTCCTGTGCTAAGTTCTTGTTCCAAAATTTTGTCAAACGCGTGTCCGAAGGTAACAAGTGAGGCACTATTTGGTGGGTTCTGAGTTCTGAGCCGAGGGGGAATGTTGAGATTAAAACCGGTACGTAAAGACTCACATAAAGTAGGGTATCTGGAAGACAGATTGTGACTACATAAGGCGCGTTCCCAAACGTCAAACCGGTAAGGTGTGAGTGGGTGAAGTTGTCTGTGCTCGAGAACACTGTTGAGCTCCGTGTGAGGTGCCAAGGCACCCAGAACATAAGTGTTGATTGTTGTGAGACCGACTGGAGCACCCTTTCCCGCATTGCCAGTCGACACACAGAGGTTGGTTTGATTTGCGCACGAGAAGCTGGTGGTCAACTCGTGTTGTGAGGGTGGCGCGAGAGTTGTCCCACAGACGATCTGCTGTGCACTCGATGAAGTTGTGTGTGGTCCTCCCCAGGCAGACGGCGCACACAGCGGGGGAGCGAGAGCTGGGTGCGCCATCCTGAAAACCCAAACATTGACTGCGGGAGTTGTTGCCTTTGGTGGTGGAAGTGTGTTTCTGGAATTTGGGTGATGCAGATCGTGGTCTGTAAGTGGGTGACAGAGAGCGTTTTGACTTCCTAGAGCGTAAGCGTCTGGTCGCCTCGGTGGATCCGGAGTGCTGAGCAGAGTCCTGTGCAATCCAAAGTCCGAGAGCAACATAGAGAGCAACACAAAGGCAGAAGACAACGCAGAGGCAGAAGGCAATGCAAAGCCATAAGGCAACGCAAAGGTAAACGCGAGGCGTCATGTGAAGGCAAACGCAAGGCGCAGTGAAGACGCGAGGGTAAACGCAAATGCATGTGGTAACGCAAAGGCAAGGATAGCACAATACATGATGCATATGATAAGGCAGTAGCGCAAATGCAAGGCGGTGGTGGATCGTGCCGAGTGACAAATGGGTAAATAAGATCGTAAAATACAACAGAATAGAAGAGTTCATTAGAGGTGATGTTGTGTGGTTAACAAACGGGAGACTCACACTGCGGGCATCAAGAAGGTCGCGCAGACGCATCTGGCGAAAGATGTGATCGAATGTGCGAAGCAACGCAGTTTCGTCGAGAATGGAGATATCCCAAGCACCCTTGGCCAGAGGGATGGCATTGTGCCAGGCCCTCCGTTGTTCTTCTTGGTAGATGAGGATGGCGCGTTGAGCAATGGTGTCAGGAGAGTTCCAGTAATGATGTAGGACTATCGACCCCCAGAAATTGGCTAACATGGTGACCCGTTGGGCAGGCCAGTCATATTCTTCCATTGCTCGGATAATGCGAGGTACAACTTGAGCGAACTCCACGGTAGAAAGGCTGCAGTCAGCGACGACCCTCGAGGAAGGTTTAGTCATACCAGCGCTAACCCAGACCGTAGAGCCGTCATCTCCAGTAGTGGGCACCATTCCCTCATCCTCTAGTCCTATAATTTGCGTGGGCGTCTGCCACACCCGCGTTCGTCCAGTAGTAAAGTTCAACGTAATGACCTTTGTCAATTTTTCGTAAAGTGAAATCAGATACCATAATTTCATCGTCCGTGGAGTCAGGCCGTGGGCGTAGAGGGATGATGAGGTGTTTGGCCCGGTTCTTCTTCCTTTCGTCAGTTTTAGCGGCTTCTTCGTCCATGCGAAGAGTCTCCCGAAGACGTTTGCTTTCCTCTTCAGCTAAGTGTTGTTGTTCGAGAGCGAGACGAGTGTCTTCTGCAAGTTGGAGTTGCCATTGAGCACGGAGGGCATCATTGGTTGTTGTCCAAACGGTGCGTAGCAGATCTGCCGCTTGAGCTTCGGTGGTGGTAGGCGAGGTAAGGCTAAGGCGACTGGCACTATAGGCGCCGGTCATAAAATCTGGACAGATGAGTAAACTTGGGTCAGAATGAAGTCTGTCCATAGGTCGGATATGTGCGAAACAAAGAGAATGAAATGATCGATATTGGCTGGTTTCGTTCTGGCTTGCGACGAGTCTTTTATTTTAGAGAAGTAAGATGTAAGGCGTGATTTCGAGCTGTTGAAATGCGGCTGATGGTGGTAAGAAGAAAGGAAGGCGTCAGTTAGGTTTGCTCGCGGCACCCGTAGACTTAATTCGTATCACGTGCTCGTGCCTCGTACTTTATAGAAGTCCAACAAATGTAGTACATAATACTATTTATTATTCAGGTTTTCACAAGCCAACATGAATAAATACGAAAGTATGGTGCTCGAGGTCCGACTACCATAAGTAGAAAGTCTAGGTGAGAAATTGAGCATGAGTGTCCGGGCTTCCATAATTATGCTCCTGTAATTCCCACGGCGACCATATCACGCACTGATGCATGTACTAAATGACAACCAGCAGAGGCCCAGTGCTACCCCACTTCTCATCGCGATCTTAGCCAACCATGACGCGGAATAAGTCACCCTGGGGTTCTCCGAGGCCGTCAAACGAACAGTGATGGAGTGAGCGACCCATCTTCGCCTGGTTGTAGTCACAATACAGGACCTTATCGAGGATTGCAAACTGGGAGAAGGTGTCAAAGGAGGAGAAAGACACGATCATACATGTCGTTGCAGCCCTGAAACCGGTGTGGTCAACTGTGCCGGAAGCGGCGAGCCGTATATGAGCTTGAGTAACTGCTAACACCGCTTTCCTCCACTGATTGAGTAGAACTCGCCTTGCAAAGCAAGCTGACCAAATCCCATGAAACTATCGGTTTCACTCGAAGACATTTGCTTGGGCCGCGCATCAAGTCATCTATCACAAGAACGGTCACAACTAATTGTCGACAATGTTTGGCTCCAAAAATCAGCTCTGAAACTTGAGCCTCACTCGCCAATTGACCTTGACGATGGCAGCAGTATTAAGTTTAGACGTAACAGCAATACGTATGCATATCGTCATGTGTAAATCACGTCTTCTCGGTGGGCCAGCCACCATGCCTGATAATCCGAAGATAGGCATATGTTTGCTTTCCGGAATGTCGCTCAGTAGGTTCAACTTATCGGCTGGCTAACTTGAAGTTCCTGCTCACTCACACTTTATTTTAGCATGAATTTGCCAAGTACTAGATGCTTATCTCCCGCTGCCCAAGAAGATGTCATACGATAACAACTGACCCTATATCACCGCATACGCTCCGCTGATTAGTTGGGCTATTGAAGTTTTAAATGTAGCTCTCCCCGTCCATTATCTATTGTAACTCACCATGTCTAGCGAGCCATCATATTCCGAGTTCAAGCCACTCCTTGGTATGTCTGTCATGCTTTGAATGCTTCTATCGCTCACAAACTCCTTCATGAAGCCCAGAGTGTTGGTTATGGCGTTGTTGTTGGTATGAGGTCTAACAAGGTTGAAACTCTTCGGCTGACTATTTTCAGGTGTGGGGTTCTTCTTCGCAGCCATCATGTTCATCTTGACCACGCTGCAACTCAAATTCTTCAAATTTTCCCCCGCTTCTTCAGAAGAATTCACGGTATGACGTCGTTCAATGCTCCAGCTGTTCTAATTTCTAATATATCACAAGAGTGCTTCTCGGAGTGTTAAGGTATGGTTTGTATTTTAAGAGACATGTCTCGCTACCTCATAATTGGAAGCCTGGTCTAGTGTGTTGTAGCATGTGCGTGCTGCTACTTGCTTGGTTTCTCAAGCGTTGCTGGACTAAACTTGTGTGTAGCGTAAGTGCATGGACGTGGAGCGCTACCCTTTTGCAATCGAGCACTGCTGCATATACATTCGGTAAGAACTTGTTTCACGTCGGCCACGGCATACGTATTAATTTCACTTAAAAGGCGTTAGTGGTCCTTGGTGCATATCTTTTGGGACTTGCGGCAACCTTGTTGACTCACTTTTTGACCCTGTGTAGGTGGTATGGTGTCGGTGGCACCATTCAGGTCGCTTTTGGCATGATTGCCTCCAAGTAAAGAAAGCAGAATGCCAACGGTGCCCATACCATTCCTTGAGGTATGAATGACAAATTCGAAAGATCTTTTCACTTGTTCACTGGCATTCAGATTGTCAAGACGCGATTTGGGACAAGTGCTCACATTCTCTTCACATTTTATGGATTTCTGTGTATCTTATTAGTCTGCGGGTCTCTGCTACGTACGTCCCAATATTTGTTCTCGACTGTTAGTGTCACTCATGGCTACGACAGTTGGAGGCTCTGCGACTGTTAGCGCCTTGACCGGCATGAACACCATCGCGGCATGCTTTCTTCTCCCTATTGGTATTGCTGTCTATGTCGTCTTTGGTGGTCTGCGCGCGACATTCATTTGCGACTGGAGTCATACCATTATCTTGTTCACTATTATCTACATATTCGTATTCCGAGCATAGTGAGTGTTTCCTCCTGCATGGGACTAGTTGATCATGGAATATTTGATAGCGGAACATCACCCGCCATTGGTAGTGTCTCCAGACTCTACGATCTCTTAGAACAGGCTAGCCTCGACACTCCAGTGGTAGGTAACGAAGGGGGGAGCTACTTGACTATGAAATCGAATCAAGGGCTTGTGTTCGGTGCTGTCTCAATCCTTTCTGGTTTTACTGGAGTCTTCTGTGATCAAGGTCAGCGACTGATAACATGTCTCATCCAGTTTACATTCCTCTAACGGAACATTTTGCATAGGTTACTGGCAAAGGGTAAGCCTTGTTTTGTAGGATGCACCTGACTGAGCAAGGTAGGCGATAGCAAGTCATCCAGAGTCGACCACCAAGGCATACGTCAGTTTCGCATTTGTAGATTTGAAACAATCTGACAGCTTGACAGATGCTTGGTGGTATTTCTTGGTTTGCTGTTCCATGGGCATTTGCATCTTGTCTCGGTCTGAGTGCTCGCGCTCTTCTGACCAATGCAAGTCCTGTTATAGCACACCCCACAGATGATAACTCACCAATATTTGTAGCCGAATTTTCCCACTTATCCTTCTCCGCTTTCTCCAAGTCAGACTAGCGCAGGTCTTGCAGCTCCTGCTGCGGCCGCTGTGCTCATGGGAAAGGGCGGCGCGATCACCGTGCTTCTTGTAGTATTGTACGTATAGACTATGATGGGAAGATGCGATGTTCTGACATGGTATCAGTATGGCTGTGACTTCAGCTGCTAGTGCTGAGCTCATCGGCGTATCCAGTCTATTGTGAGTTGCTGCGTCATCCTTCTAAAGGCAAACACCTGACCATACACGATCAGTTCGTATGAGTGGGTAGTCCATAGCGTGGATATTATTACTGAAAATGACCCCTCACATCAGCATATACCGGACGTATTTCCGCCCCAATGCCACTGGAGACGAGATAGTGAGGGTATCTCACTACTTCATATGTTTCTGGGCTGTCTGGATGGGCTGTTGGGCAACGATTGTAAGTGTCATTCATCTCATCGTTTGTTTCCCGCACAAGCTCAAATCTACAGCTGTATGCTGCTCACATCGACCTTGGATGGGTGAGTTGTATCGCTCTCGACGCCGATGGCCTCCACTGACGAGTTCGTGGGGAAAGCTATTTTTTGTCCAGTAAGGTTTTGACTGTGTGTGATGTGAAGCACTTGCTGAATCTATCCGGATCACAGAGGCTGTATACTCAGTCCTGCAGTCATTCCCATTGGACTTACTGTTTCGTGGTCTAAGCTTACAAAGGCAGGCGTTTTCTGTGGTGCTATAGGCGGCGCATTTTTCGGAATGTTGGCTTGGATGATCGGATGCTGGAAGATATACGGTCTGATTTGTCCAAATACCACTGACATCATGCTGACTGATTTCAGGTCAAATCAACGTCACTAACCTTGCAGAACCGTACTCAGCGCTATGTAGTACGCGGGATTGTTTTTCTCTGGGATTCTGACGGTAGGGGTGTCGCTCTCAAGTACGTTTTTACTCCCTCCCAACACCCAATGTTTATTTTTTTCTACAGACCCTGCTGACTATGACTTCTCGGGCACTCGAGCCATCGCCATCTTAGAAGATGCAAACGAAAGTAACGTTTGGGACGATGACACTCCAAACAGAGCATCAGACACCGAATCACAGAACAAGAAAAGGGGCACCAGCGAAAAAGGGTCGTCGTTCAAACAGCCAGTTTCCAACATCATGGAACTCAGGCTAGAGAAGGATAGGAATCACGTATCAATCCCTCAAGATAGCGTTCAGGAAGGCGCTTATGTATTCTTCGATTTTGACATTGATTGTTGTCATACTGGTCAGTATGTCAGCGCTAATCTATTGGCTACACGACTGATAGAGGACCAGTCCCAATTCCCATGTTCTTCTCTCATTATATCTTTAGCAAGAAGTTCTATACCTTCTGGACAGCTTGCTCGATGTAAGTTATCGACGTCAACACGCAGTTCGATAGAGTGCTCACGGACTTTCTTTCGACAGTACATGGGCACTCGCGAGCGGGACATTTTGCATCGTCTTACCCTTGTGGGAGTCCAGAGTTGAGATTGGTACGATATTGGGTTCAGCTTATAGATCAATCTACAAATAGAGTTCACTTTGAACTCCAAGTTGCTTCATGTATATATCTTTCCTGTTGGCATTAGGTTCCAGCTTCGTCTGGCTCAGGAAGAGTCGGAGGCACGAGCTGTGTGTCTGGGCTGGTCCGAGCTTGGGAAGCAGGTGGAGCCGCTGGGTGGGCAGGAGACCTACGAATTCTGTCGTGCTCTAACTCTTGTGTGGTGCAATCAAAATAGTGTCTTTATAATACAGTGACAGTTCAACAGGCTAATTGAGAGAGAGCAAGGAACGAGAAGGTTAACGAGCGAGAGTTTGAAGTCTCGGTGTCGTAGGTAGGTCGAAAAACGAACGAAAGGATTCCAGACGCTAACGCTCACCTGGAAGTGTGGGACACTCCCCGGGTTAACCGGTTACGTCTCGGCACCTGTGCAATGCAATTGTATACCCCAAATTGGCGCCACCTTCATGTAATGCCTTACATAATACCTACCGAAGACAAAAGCTGGAGTCTTAATTGAAACATGATTGCAACCACATCTGATTGAAACATGACTTTTTTGCATGCCGGCAAATGGTATCTCATGGGAAGCCCTTGTTATTGTCTTTTTTGTGCGAGTCAGAACGGGTCTTCACCAAATCTGGTTACTGGTTCGGCAGCGTGAGTTTATTGTCATCATGACCACCTTCGTCTTCCACCTTTTTGTTAATACAAACTTGGCCCATGGACGCTTTGCCAATGCCACACCACCAGGAATCTATTTATTCGCGAATATCGGAATAGGGTGAAATCTAAGGTCTCGTTCGTCTGCCCACCTACAGGCCTATCGATTTCTCTCAGAATCTCCCTACTACAACTTTACTCTTGGCTCATTACCAGGTGCTTCATTGATTTCTCTCGGCAAAATGTGGCACTCGGGCAATACTGTGTCGTTCTCTCATCCTTCCAACCCGCCGAACGAGCTGCACCTGCACAACTTGCCATCAGATACTGTTTTAACATGTGCTAGCGCTTCCAGTTCATCACAAGCAACCTGCACCCAACCACTCGCACCTCCTCAAGCTCACTATTCATCCATGCAGCTCCAGGATGACATGTTTTCACAGTTCTTCGGAGCCAAACCACACCGAACGAGAGTCCTCGAACGGCATGTCCCTCCGCCCTACTTGCGCGAAGGGGAGTTTGAGAAACTGCCTGTCCGTACTGCTTATCCGAGTCCGGATGCAGACAACAAGCCCATAATACTCACTCGCTATTTGTTTTCCTACGGTTTCTGTACGTTTCTCTCGAACATGTATCACAAGATATGAAATTGACAATTCCCTTCAGTCTTTCCAATATTTTGGATAGTTGGAATCGCTATAATATTCTCCCCACTTCGGCCCACTCCTGAATGGGGGATGGGAAAGTCGGAAGAGGAGAGACAAAGGCTGCTTGCGGAGATGCGAGTTTCGGAACTCAAATGGGCCAAGCGTTGTTTATATGCCATGATCGCACTTTTGGTTCTCGTTATTATTGTGTTGGTGACCACCCTTGTTTTGGTAAGACGGTAAAGAGGCGCTGGCGGTTGCTTTACTCTACCTTCTTTCCATACAGCTATTGTGTTCGGCCAACCGGACCTTCATCTTTTCGTCAGCTAAGTACTATAGTTGGATTTTTCTCCTGTATCAGCAACTCTGGCATATCACTTTCAAGCTCAAGCCCTGTTTATACTTATAGACGACATACTTTAGTGTACCACCACAAAAGCCATTTGTCTCTTTACTGAATGAATGTCCTCTGGGTATCCGAATATGCATTGGGCAGTGTATGTGATTACGAACTAACAGTGTGGCACTAACTAGATCCAGCTCGAGAGGTAGGAGGCTCCGTTTTCGGATTTCTTATCCAAACCAATGATCTTCGAAACTAGATATTGCACCATCAACCATGATACCAAAAGCGAAAGCAGAAGTAGAATGGTATGACTCACTGTGGCGATGTGCCGCTTGGGCTTTCAGCTTACCCTGAGCAGATCATGTATCCTGCATCCTAAGGATGCGGGTGAGTCATGTGATTGATCTTGGTTGCACAGCGACCTGCGCTCATACTCACATCAGGCCTACACCAGAGGTTATCGCAGCAATCTATATCTATCGTGCAGAGGTCTCCGAGATGACCACACACTTTTTTAGGGCGGGGGCAGCTTTTTAGATAATGTCGATGATGTCAAAGCAAGAACAACGACGGTGAGGAACGATAAACGCATTTTCGTGCGAGGCGATATAGAACTTGAGGGGGTCTCGAATGATATCTCTGAGAATGGGTAGACGCTGTAGGACGATGACTAGCTTTTATACTCTGCATATACTTCTGGGCATGGTTCTGGCCGATTTGGCAGAAACCGTTATTGCTGAAAATGCAGGAGCGGATTCAGTTGATTACGACTATTGCGGCTGGCAACATCGACGACCCTTCTTAATATTACCCGCAGATTGCTCGCTCTCGTCTTCAGTCTTTCATCCCAAAGCTAAAAAGTTGATGCTCATCTAGTCACTGATACTTCCGAGGATATTTCCATCATCTTTCTCGCGAT